ATATATATATATGTATATATATGTGTGTGTATATATATATATATATATATATATCTGTGTGTGTGTGTGTGTGTGTGTGCGCGCAATCTTTATTTTCGTTAAAGACGTAGAGAACATTTTGACCGAGTAAAGAATTTAGTTTTGTAAATCTTTTTCTAATGAAGTATGGGTTTACCTACATCCTTTTCCATGCAAATTTTATTGCATGGATAAGGAAGTAGATGAAACCATACCTCGTTCGAAAAAAGGCTCGCAGATCAAAAAATCTTGACTTAATCAAAATGTTTGGCAATTGAGATTTGAAAATTTGAAAATAGATTTGAAGATTTTTAAAAATCTTTTTTTTAAAAAATCCTCCTCCTTTTATCCGTGTTTGGGACAGATTACTTAATTTTGAAGTAAACGAAGTTAAAATTGTACATGAACAAGTTTTAAGTGTACCTTTTTTTTTAAAATCAAAATATTATTAAGAAAATAACGAAGTTTGATTATATGATGAAATTAAATATCATTTACCTGATTACAACAATTTTCTCATTCAGATATTGTATTAAAAAATGTACGTTTTGTCAATCAATTTATGCACATCAATGCTTAGGCAGAGTTAAAATTGTACACGAACGAGTTGTTACGCGTACATTTTTTAAAAATCTAAATATATTAAGAAAATAACAAAGTTTGATTATATGATGAAATTAAATATCATTTACCTGATTACACGCAATTTTCTCATTCAGATATTGTATTCGAAAATGTGCGTCTTGTCAATCATTTATGCACACCAATGCTTCAAGAATACCTTCTTTGAGTTTGCTCCTTGCCTTGGACAGAGTCCTCTTACCTGCACTAAAAGTGGCCCCTGAATCTATGTGCTAACTAGAAGTGTTAGTAGATCTTTTGCAGTGGTAGAAATGACATGGTATTTTCATTCGTTATTCCACCAAAAATCAAGTAAATCTAATTATATAGCATCAACGGAGTCTACACTCCTAGGTGTTTGATGATTAAAATATTTAACTAATTCAATAAGCATTCCAGCAGAACCTGCATACGAAGTCGGATTATATGCATGAGACGTACTAGAAGAACCTCTTGCATCATATCTTTCATCCCCGATGCTTTCAAATAGGGATAAAAGTCATATTTCATTGTCTTGAAGAGTAGCAGAAGGGGTGGGTGCGGTGGGTATTTGACTAATATTTGCACCAAAGCACAGTGCGTACGTTTCGTACATTGAAGTTAACGTGTTTTCTAAATTCGAATAAATGATAGGTGTGTCAAAATTACATGGGATCCATTACACTTGTCAAAGGAAATAACATTGGCAATTCTTCCTAGTATTTTCTGAATTTTAATTCCATATAAAACAATATATAAGCAAAATCGAGGATCATTTGTATTTTTGAAACTATTTTGCAATGATGTAAAGATGTTCAACAAATCTGAACTTGTGGGGTAGTATACCTCAAATAAGATATTTTGAAATCATAAAAGCTTGTTAATTTTTTTTTTACTTTCAAGGCTAGTTCCTAGTCAGAATCAATCAAAATAGAATCATCGATATTTCTTACATGCCAGAGTTATAAAATTCAGTGGTTAAATGTTTATAACCTTCACACGATTTTAATAATAAGTGGAGTTCCATATATACTCTAGACCAGTTACAAATTTTTTGGAATCTTGGCCAACTTGTGAACGAAGTTCCTCAAATGCTTGTTTCGTACTTGGTGATATAGTGATATAAAGTATTGCATTCCTAATTCTATCAATTTGATTCTTAATATGTTGCATGCCATCCTGCACAATTAAATTAAAAATATGACAAATACAACGAACATGAAACAAA